TCACAACAGATCCAACAAAAATCCAGAGGATCTTCAATACCTACTTTGAGAACCTGTACTCTAATAAAATTGAAAACACATAAGAAATGGACAGATTTCTAGATATTTATGAATGACCAAAGTTGAACAAAGAAGATAAAAAAAATTCTAAACATCCCAATTACAATCAGTGAAATTGAAAATGTAATGAAAAGGGCTAAAGGTGTAGGGGAAGTGGGAAGGGCAGGGGAAAGGAAATAAGGGAAAAGAGAAAAATATGAGAAAATGGAAATAGAGTATTTGTAAATAGAGAAGGGAGGAGGGGGTGAAGGGAGGGGAAGGGGAAGGGGAAAAAATGAGAACCAAGACCTGTCATGTAAAGATACAAGACCCCAACAATGAATGTAACTGTACTGTGTACCTAAAATGTACCAATAAACTCAATGAGGGGGAAAAAAAATTTAGCAACAAAGAAAAGCCCAGGTCCTGATGGATTCACTGCTGAATTGTACAAGACATTTAGAGAAGAACTACTGCCACGACTCTTTAAATTTTTCAATGAAATTGAAAGGGAAGCAATACTTCCAAATTCATTCATGGAAGTAAGTGTTACTTTGATTCTAAAAGCAGGGAAAGACCCAACTAAAAAAGAGAACTACTGGCCAATTTCCTTAATGAATATAGATGCAAAAATCCTTAATAAGATACTAGCAAAAAGAATACAGAGGGTCATCAAGAAGATCACACATCCTGATCAAGTCAGATTTATTCCAGGGATACAAGAATGGTTCAACATATGTAAATCAATAAATGTAATGTACTATATTAACAGAGTCAAGGACAAAAACCATATGATCCTCTCAATAGATACAGAGAAAGCATTTGACAAAATTCAACACCAATTCACAATAAAAACCCTGCAAAAATAGATGGTCTATATCGCAAATTAATAAAAGCTATGAAAAACCAACAGCCAACATCATACTAAATGGCCAAAAACAGAAAACCTTCATGTTAAAATCAGGAACAAGACAAGGATGCCCATTATCACCACTCCTCTTCGATATAGTTATGGAAACATTAGCCACAGCAATTAGACAAGAGAAAGAAATTAAAGCAATAAAGATAGGAAAAGAAGAAGTTAAACTGTAAAAATTTGCTGATGATATGATACTCTACATTGAAGACCCAAAAAACTCCACCAAAAGACTTCTAGACTTAACTGACACTCTCAGCACAGTAGCTGGATACAAGTTCGACAATCAAAAATCAATAGCTTTCTTATACACAGATAACAGACTCACTGAGAGAGAAATTAGAGAAACAATTCCTTTCACAGTAGCATCCCAAAAAGTGAAGTATCTAGGAATCAATCTAACGAAAGAAGCAAAAGACCTTTACACTGAAAACTACAGCACTCTGAAAAAAGAGATCAAAGAGGATGCAAGAAAATGGAAAGACATCCCCCACTCCTGGAAAGGAAGAATCAACATAGTGAAAATGGCCATACTTCCAAAACTGGTATACAGATTTAATGAAATGCCGATTGAAATTCCAACAGTATATTTCACAGAACTAGAAAAAATAATCCAAAAAATTCATTTGGAACCAGAAGAGACCTAGAATAGCAAAAGCTATCCTAGGCAAGAGAGATGGCAGCAGATATAACAATTCCCAATTTGAAACTATACTACAAAGCCACTGTGATAAAAACAGCATGGTACTGGCAAAGAAACAGACCTAAAGATCAGTGGAATAGACTGGAAGATACAGAAACAACAACTCGAGATGTACTTAACTACCTCATCTTTGACAAAGGAGCCAACCATCCTCAATGGAGGAAAGATAGCCTCTTTAATAAGTGGTATTGGAAAAACTGGATTTCAACCTACAAAGATTAAAACTAGACCCTTATCTTTCACCATGCACTAAACTAAAATCTAAGTGGATTAAAGATCTAAACACTAAAAAAGAGTCACTAAATTTGCTGGAAGATAAGATAGGCAGAACTCTTGAAGACTTTGGCATAGGAAAAGACTTTATGAACAAATCCTCAGTAGCACAGGAACAGAATCAACAACTGGAATTTCATCTTATTAAAAAGTTTCTGCACTGCAAAAGAAACCATCAACAGAACTAAAAGAAAGCACAATGTGGGAAAAAATTTTTATCAGCTGCTCCTCAGACAAAGGACTATTATCTAGAATATATGAAGAACTCAAAAAAATCAGCCCCCCCAAATAAAAAGACCCAATTCAAAAATGGGCATCTGAAATAAAGACATTTCTCAGATAAACAAGTAAAAGCAGCAAATAAATATATGAAAAAATGTTCCAAATCAGTGGTCATTTGAGAGATGCAGATGAAAACAACACTGAGATTCCACCTCACCCCAGAAAGAATAGCTGCTATCAAGAAATCAACCAGTAACAAATGTTGGCAGGGTTGTGGGGAGAAAGGAACCCTTCTCCATTGTTGGTGGGAGCGCAGACTGGTGCAACCACTATGGAAATCAATATGGAAATACCTCAAAGAACTAGGATTAGAGATTCCATTTGACCCAGCCATGCCTCTTTTGGGTATCTTTCCAAAAGAATTAAAAGAATCATACCACAATGATATATGTACACCCAAATTTATAATGGCACAGTTTGTAATAGCTAAAACTTGTAAACAGCCCAATTGCCCATCAGTTGGAGACTGGATAAAGAAGATGTGGTTTTTCTATAAAATGGAGTGCTACTCAGCCATAAAAAATGAGAAACTAGAGTAATTAATAGGAAAATGGACACATATTGAGGTCATACTCAAGTGAAACAAATAAGTCTCACATGTGTAAATACCAAATAGTTTCTCTGGTATGAAAAATTATAATTGTACATAAGATTCTAATGGTATAATTGACAATGCAAAATAGGAAGAAAAGGGCTAAAGGTGCAGGGGAAGTGGGAAGGGTAGGGGAAAATAAAAAATAGGAGAAAACGAAAAAATGGAAATAAAGTTTTGTAAATAGGGGAGGAGGGGGTTGAAGGAAGGCAAGGTATGGGGAAAAATGAGAACCAAGATCTGTCATGTAAAGGTACAAGTTCCCAATGATGAATGTAACTGTACTGTATACCTAAAATGTACCAATAAACTCAATGAGAAAAAAAAAGAAAAAGAAAATGCCCCCAAATATCAGTATGAGCACCATCTACACAGGTCTGAGCCCCAAGACTAAGTGCAGCAATAAAAGGAAAGACACTGGGGGGTCAGAGCATGGGGTTGAAGCCCTCTAGGAACTTGAAATGCTACCCACAGCCCAGAAGAATGAAGGGAGAAAGGACCCCATCCTCCTTGTCCTCTTCCCTCTCAGCACGGGGACCTCAGGCAGGCTGACAGTGCACACACTGAAAACCACAGGTGGACATTCTAGAGATGGCGAGGCCTGACTCAGAGGGAAGGTGCAGAGCAGATCCTGCCCTAAGCCCCTCAACAGTTAACTACAGAGGGGTCTGCACCTCCCTACAGGCAAACTTGTGCCTCCCAGTTCCTCTGGGTATACCTGCCATCCTGGCCTGGACACACTGCCAGGAGGTGGGGACCGCACAGAGAGCAGCCAGATCATTGGTGACAGGAAAATACGAGGTTCCCCAATATGACAGCAGGTGAACAGCTTGGAAACGCCAAAGGACTGCAGACCAAAATGCAACACAGCACCACCACCAATCATCTGTAAATGCTGGCTACTTAGAGAGGTGCGCCAGAACCCTGAAAGAATTTTCAAAGAAAATACAGTTTGACCTTTCAAGTTCCTTCATTAATTCAACCAACAAAACTCTGCCAGAATCCACAGGCCTCAGTCTAGCAATGGGCGCTACTACACTGACTTTTAATAAAAGCTAAATATATTTTGTTGACCTTCTAACCAGAATAAATCTTACCAAACTAGTATTGTATGTAAGCACATTTCTCAAACAGGGTGAAGGGAGAGGTGCCCCCAGGCTGTAAACAGGATCCAATATGAAAACAGGGAACAAAATATCAAAAGTTTTCCCTAATGGCAAAAGCAATGGAGAAACAGTCACAATGCCAGTTCAAAAAATGTGTCCCATTTCTATGCTCTGGCTTCTTAGTCCAGATCCCTATTATAGATAAAGCAATGGACTGGAAATCGTTTCATCTGTTCATTAAAGGAGGGAGCCTAGTCTGCATCAGCCCAGCAGGCCGGTGCCAAAGGCCCATATGCACTTGAGGTTGCAAAACCTCCAAAGGTCTGCTGTTCAGACTCTGCGTTTTACTTGGCAGACACACCACCCTAAATCTAGCAGCAGAAACGCCCTGCAGACTTGGACAGGCAAGGAGCCAGCAGGGTTGCTCCCCAGGACAAGCTGGCTCATCATCCCAGAGGCGGTGGCTCTGGTGAGGGGTGCAGACAGCATGCAGTATCTGAGCCACAGCTAGATGGGGCCTGGACTGCAGGAATCCTGATGTGACAACCACCTAGAGAAGGAAGAGAAGGACTGGAGGATCGAGCCCCAGACAAATGGCACAGTAGCCGGAAGAGGCCCTCAAGGCAATGCTGCCCACACCCCAGCAAAGGGCAGGGAGGGACAGGATTGCCAAGGGACACTGTGTTCCTCCCTGCATACCTAAGTTAAATTCCTACACACCGGCTTGACCAGAACCTGCCAAGTTATCCCCTCCTACCCCCTCCCTCTCCTATAAATGGGTGGTTTAAGTCATCATTTTTAATCTTCCTTGAACCTTTATGAACAGAGATCTGGATCCCACAGACCCCAGCTGAGCCCATGGTGGGCCAATGATCATCCCAGCACTGGCTCATTCATTCTCCCTGAATTCCTTCTCACTCCTGGCTTCCCACTCCTTCATGGGAAAAAGTATCTGCTCAAAGGGCAATGACTTCCCGGGGCTTCTTCTACAGTGAGGATAATCAGAGCTTGCATGAAATTAAGCAGGACAGAAAGATCCAGCTAGTCAAGGAAGTGTGCAGCACTGGTCCCAGATATATCCTCTCTGTCTTGGAGCTTCTACCCACTGGAGCCTGGCTCCAAGTGCACTGACAGCAGGAATGGAGCAGCCCTCGGCCAGTGCCAACAGATGGGTCCAAAGTACTTAGCACAGAGCAGGGAGGTGTTTTTGGAACTCCAGAGATACAGGAATAAAGGAGCTGTTTTTTATCAGGACAGCCTCGCAGATGCTACAAATCTTGGCTCTGGGGAAGCAGCCCCTGCACCTCTACTCCGCTCACAGTAGTGGTAAAGCTCCTTCCTACAGTACCCAGGAGGGCACTACACTGCGACCGAGGATAAGTGGGGCCCATCTTATGTTCTGCGGTCACTTCTGCTTCCCAGCTCACCAGTCTCTCTGCCTCGGAAGCAGATGAGCTCCCTATCTCTGGTGGAGCCCCAGTACCCAGAGCCCCCGTCCCCAACTGTCTTTCCTAAAGACAAAACAAGTTGGCAAATGACCCAGACAGACACCACATTGGGAGATCAGGAGCAGGGGAGCCTCTGGGAGTAAGGTCTTGTCCAGAGATGAAGATGTGTTGGCGAAGGACTCGGCAGGACTGTGACCCGGTCAGGACACAGGACAGACAGCTGGTCCGCTGGGCCAGAGACGATCATAGTAGTGAACGGCACCCCCAAACTGCTGGAAAAGGAGCCTTCTACAGGACAGAATCAAGGCTTCCCTGGAAGAGGCAAAGCAGAACACAATGAACACACATTTGGCAAAGAAAGTTAAACACACTCAGGACTAAGAGTGGGCGAGCACACAAAATGTCCGTGGGCTGTGGCCCATTGACTAAACTAAGGAAGAGGATGCAAAATACAACTTCATTCACACAACCCCAGAAGCTGGCCATAAGCAGCACTTTGGTAAACTGAGGCACCCAAAGTCCATGACAGATGGTAGAGGTGATTGTAGACATTCCCATTTTCTCATTTTTTTTTCATAAAACAGGTCTAACATAAAGTGGGCTTAGCTATACCCTTCCCCTTGGACCCAAATGGACTCAGGCCACCGGGAGCTCCAGGCAGGGAGAGTTGAAGAGGGGAGGTCAGACAGTCTCTAGTGGCTTCGTAAGCAGGAGCTCATGCCCTATTGGCAAGTGGACTCATGCCCTGTCTGCTGGGACCCCAAGCTCCTTGGGTGGAGGCCAGGAGCAGAGGCCTTCCTGGGGCTATCTCTCACATTACCTGGGCGCAGGGGCACCCCTTGGCATGTAGGGAGAGCACAATCCAGCCTACAGCATTGGCCAAAGAGACAAGAAGAGAGGGAAAGGCTGCCTGAGAGCAGGGAAGCCAGGAACATGCTGAGAAGCATTTCCCTCCAGGGAAGGAGGTGGGCCGTGGGCTGCCTCTTCTGCTTGCTGGAACCAGCTCGCCCAGAGGGGGAGACCTACATAATGAGTCTGTCCCAATCCCATGGGTAAACTTTTCTATCACACCCATGGCATTAGCCCCTTCTTCCCCTCACAGACCTGGGGGACCACTATAGAGGCTTCAGGGCCGAGGCCACTGTGGGGACTTCCCCAGCTGCAGGGTCTCTCTAGCCACTCTCAGTCCACGAAGCCCTTGGTACCATGCTCTCCCCTGATGGCCACCCAGGACAGGCACTCACCCACCTTGGACAGGAGAAGAATTCTTCTTTCACACTAGTGACCCTGTTTCAGGAAACAACCATGTGAGTTTTAAATAACCAGACAACATTCCGCTTGACCCTCAGCTTCTACGTGCTCTGCTCTCAACAGTCTGATGATCTCAGAAAGGAAACAAGGTCCAGGGAGCCAGAAATTCGTTACTCGTGTTTGGGCATAGCGATGGCCAGGAAGGTGGCTCAGATGTAGGAAGTGTGGCAAAATGGCTGGTAAGCCCCTGGCGGGTGCATCCACCACAGAGAGACAGACACATCACCCCCAGATCTGACCAGACTTATCTTCTCTCTGCCTCCCTTAGGAACCCCCACAGAATATCAGAGATGTGCTCCCCCTGCAGCCTTCAGGAAGGCAGGTTGGCTGCAGAAAAGACTGCGATCCTTACCGCACTGGAGCTGGCATGGCTGAGCTTATCAAAGCGGAATTTCAGGTTTGATCTCGGGGAATTTCTGCTTTTGGCATCTAAGAAAAGAAGAATGCCAGTGAAAAGGAAGTGGATCTATAGAGGTCATTCTAGCTGAGTGGGGTGGTGGGGGAAAAAGGGATTCTGCCTCCCCTCCAGGCATGCTAGCTGCTAAACACAGATCATTTAAAACAATTAAACTTATAGGCTTACAGTAAATGAATTATATTTAACAAAGATAATAAATACTCAAAATTCACACTCGTTATTTTACTATGCTTTAATATTATTATATATTCTCTTCTATCTGCTATACCCCCATGGCAGAAATACCCTATGAAAGTGGCTGTGTATCTGGTGCTACCCACACATTCAGGGACATCACAGTGGTAGCTTAAAATCAGCCATGATAGGCATAATTTACACCACAAAAACTGGCCGATACTACAAATCAGAGCTTGACTTATAATTTGTTGTCTAGACTTAAGAAACTATGAAGACAATAATAACATGGGTTAAACTTTAAAATGTGTGTGTAGAGGCAGGTGTGGTGGTGCACACCTGTAATCCTAGGGAGGCTGGGGCAGAAGGATCACGTTAGAACCCAGTCTGGGCATTTAGCAAATTAGCAAGACCTTGTCCCCCACAAAAAAAAAAAAAAGGTGGAAACACAGCCCAGCATAAAGACACTAGGTTTTATCCCCATACATATTTTGCACAAAAATTAAAATTAAAAAGTGTTATATCTGCAGCCATTACGTTGTGAGCAACGTCAAGAGACTGAGTAAATACAAGAGGAAGAAATGACAATCATAAATATATATGCACCAATACTAATGGCCCCAATTATACAAAACAAATATTAATGAATATGAATAAGCACTAATACAATTGTAGTGGGGGACCTCAATACTCCCCTGATACAAAGAGACAGATCATCTAGACAAAAAATCAACAATGAAATAACAGAACGGAACCCAGTCTTACAACAAACAGACTTAGTAGATGTCTTCAGAGTGTCCCATCCCACAAAATCAGAATATATATTCTTTTCGGCTGCACACGGGTCATTCCCCAAAATAGACCACATGCTAGCTCATAGAACATGCTTAAGCAAATCCAAAGGAATTCAAGTTATCCCATTTATATTATCAGACCATAGTGCAATTAAACTGGAGATCAATAGCCTAAGAAACCACAAAAACTCCACAAACACACGGAAATTAAATAAAACCCTGCTGAACAACCATTGGGTCACAGAGGAAATTAAAGAAGAAATTATAGACAGTTTCTACAATTAAATGGTAATGCCAATACAACATACAGGAATCTACGGGACACAATGAAAGCAGTTCTATGAGGGAAATTCATAGCAGTGAATGCCCATACTAGGAAAACAGAGCAAGCTCAAATAAACAACCTGATGCTTAACCTTAAACTCCTAGAAAAAGAAGACCAAGACAAACCAAAAGCTCATACAAGGGAGGAAATTATAAAGATCAGAGCAGAAATTAATGCAATTGGAGACTAAGAGAATGATACAAAAAAAATCAATGAATCAAAGAGTTGGTTTTTCAAAAGAATAAAATCGATAAACCCTTAGCCAACCTTATCAAAAAAAAGGGAAGAAAAGTGTCAAACTCATGCAATTAGGAATGAAAAAAGTGACGTCACAACAGACCCATCAGAAATCCAGAGGACCATCAATATCTGCTTAGAAAACCTATACCCTAATAAAATGGAAAATACAGAAGAAATGGAGAGATTCCTAGACACATATGAACTTCCAAAGTTGAACGAAGTTATAAAAAGTCTAGACACCCCAATTACATTCAGTGAAATTGAAAATGTAATTAAAACATTACCAACAAAAAAAGCCCAGGCTTTGATGGCTTCACTACTGAATTCTTCTACAAGACATTTAGAGAACAACTATGGCCACTACTCTTTAAACTCTTCAATGAAAATGAAAGGGAAACAGTACTTCTAAATTCATTACTAGAAGCAAGTGTTACTTTGATTCTAAAACCAGGGAAAGACTCAACCAAAAAAGAGAACTACAGGCCAATCTGCCTAATGAACATAGATGCAAAAGTCCTCAATAAGACACTGGCAAAAAGAATACAGAAGATCATCAAGAAGATCATACACCCTGACCAAGTCAGATTTATTCCAGGGATGCAAGGATGGTTCAACACATGTAAATCAATAAATGTAATACAGTATATTAACAGAATTAAGGACAAAAACCATATGACCATCTCAACAGATGCAGAAAAATCATTCAACAAAATTCAACACATACTCATGATAAAAAAAAACCCTACAAAAAATTGGAATAGATGGTCTTTATCTCAACCTTATAAAGACTATCTATGAAAATCCAACCACCAAAATCATTCTAAATGATCAAAAACTAAAAACCCTCACACTAAAATCAGGAACAAGACAAGGATGTCCTTGTCACCACTCCTGTTCAATATAATTCTAGAAACATTAGCCACAGCAGTTAGACAGGGAAAGAAATAAAAGGAATAAAGATAGGAAAGCAAGATGTTAATCTGTCACTATGTGCTGATGATATGATTCTCTACATAGAAGATGCAAAAAAACTGTCAAAAGATTGTTAGACTTAACAGATTCAGTAGAGTAGCAGGATACAAAGTCAACACTCAAAGATCAATAGCTTTCTTATACACAACTAACAGACTCACTGAGAGAGACATTAGGGAAACAATTCCTTTCACAATAACATCCAAAAAAATGAAATATCTAGGAATCAATCTAATGGAGACAAAAGACCTCTATACTGAAAATTATAGCATGCTGAACAAAGAGATAGAAGAGAATATAAGAGATGGAAAGACATCCCTTGCTCTTGGGTAGAAATAATCAACATAGTGAAAATGGCCAGACTTCCAAAACTTCTATATAGAGTTGGTGCAATTCCTATTGAAATTCCAACAGTGTATTTCACAGAACTTGAATAAACAATCCAAAACTTCATTTGGAACCAGAAGAGACCTAGAATAGCAAAAACCATTCTCAGCAACAGAGACATGGTAGGGGTATCACAATCCCCAACTTGAAACTATACTACAACGCCACTGTGATTAAAAACAGCTTGGTACTAGCAAAGAAACAGACCCAAGGATCAATGGACTAGATTAGAAGACACAGAAACAACACCAGACATACTCAGACAAAGACAAAGACATCCTTTGACAAAGTAGTCAACCATCCTCACTGGAGGAAAGATAGCCTCTTTAACAAATGGTGTTGGAAAAACTGGATTTCAACTTGCAAAAGATTAAAACTAGACCTTTATCTTTAACCATGCACTTAACTAAAATCCAAATGGATTAAAGACCTAAATATCAAAATAGAAAAACTAAACTTACTAGAAAGTAAATTACACAGAACTCTCGAAGACATCAATATAGGAGAAGACTTTATGAACAAATCCTCAGCAGCACAAGAAATTGCACAAAGAATAAACAACTGGGATCTCATGGTATTAAAAAGTTTTTACAGTGAAAGAGAAATCACCAACAGAGCTAAGAGACAACCTACAATGTGGGAAAAAAATTTTCTCCAGCTACTCCTCAGACAAAGGAATACTATCTAGAATATATAAGGAACTCAAAATAATCAGATTTCCCAAATGCAAAGACACAATTCAAAAATGGGCATTTGAAATGAACAGATATTTCTCAAACAGACAAGTAAAAGCAGCAAATAAATATATGAAAAAATGTTCAACATCACTGGTCATTCTAGAGATGCAGATGAAAACAACACTGAGATTCCACCTCACCCCAGAAAGAATAGCTGCTATCAAGAAATCAACCAATAACAAATGTTGGCGGGGCCGTGGGGAGAAAGAACCCCTTCTCCATTGTTGGTGGGAGAGCAGACTGGTGCAACCACTGTGGAAATCAATATGGAGATACCTCAAAGAACTAGGATTAGAGTTTCCATTTGACCCAGCCATCCCTCTGTTGGCCATCTTTCCAAAAGAATTAAAAGAATCATACCACAATGATATGTGTGCATCCATGTTTATAGCGGCACCATTTGTAACAGCTAAAACTTGGAAACAACCCAAATGCCTATCAACTGGAGACTGGATAAAGAAGATGTGGTTTTTCTATAAAATGGAGTACTAGTCAGTCATAAAGGATGAGAAACTAGAGTCATTTATAGCTAAATGGATGCACATTGAGGCTATATTCTTAAGTGAAATAAATAGAATACACTTGAGTAAATACCGAATAGTTTCTCTGGCATGAAAAACAAAAAGTGTAAATAAGGTTCAAATGGTATAATTGGGAGTGTAAAATAGGAAGAAATTGCCTGAAGGGGAAGTGGGAAAGGAAGAAGAAAAGAAATAAGGGAAAAGAAAAAAATGTGAAAAAGTGGAAACAAATTTGTAAATAGGGAAGGGTGAAGGGGGTAAAGGGAGGGCAGGGATACGGGGAAAAAACAGGAACCAAGGTACATCATGTAAAGGTGCAAGACCCCAATGATAAATGTAACTGTACTGTTTGCTTTAAATGTACCAATAAACTTAATGGAAAAAAAAAAGACTGAGTAAATATTCTTCCAGCATTTGAAAACTATTCTCCAATTTGACAAAGAAATTGCTCACATCACCCACATAGGAATAAAGCTCTATTAGTGTAAAATATTGATTTACATAAATTATATTCACCAACATTCATGTTGGAGCCACATTTGTGATCTTCAACCTCATGTTGGCTATGGTACAAAAGTTAGAGAACTATCAAAGGAAATGTCTTGTGAAAAATCAATTGGACATATGGGATTTACAATAAGGAATGTTGTATATTTTATCATTATTTGTAAACTGTGCGTCAGATCATTGTATCAGTAAAATCCACAGTAACTGTGTGCCTATGTGTGGGTGCATAGCAGAAGAGCCCTTTTTATCATGAGAAATATTTTTATTGATTTATTATTTTTATCTTATTAGTACATGTTTGCAGTACATGAAGTTTGCATTCATCTTGTAGAGTGGGTACATATACATAATACAGCGTATTTCTGGGTTTTTTATCCCCTTCCCATTCACCTCTCTCTCTTTCCCTGACTCAAACCTTTGCCCATTTTCATTCTCATTATTTTCAGCTCATGTGTGTGAAACATGATATTTACACTTACTGAGATTATGAGGTTCCCGAACATGGCATAATTTAATCCTTTTTATTTCCCCTCCCCGTTCCCACTCACTCCTCTCACCATTGGTCTCCAAGACTCTTTCCCATTTGTAAAAGTTCCAACCCCTATCTCCTTTTATTTTCTTCTTTTTTTTTTTTTGTACCAGGGATCAAACTTGGGACCTTGCACTTGCAAGGCAGGCACAGTGCCACTGAGCTAAATTCTTTATTATGCTCTTTGTTTATACCTTGCCTTACTCAAATGAGAGATACCATATAGTATTTAAGCTTGTGTGTCTGGTTTATTTCACACAACATTATGTTTTCCAGATACATTAATTTTCCTAGAAATGTCCTGAATTTATCCTTCTTTATAATCAAATAGTATTCCATTGTGTATTGATACCACATTTTTCTTTATCCACTCATCGGTTGATGCGTATAACAGCTGCGTCTGGGATTTAGCTATTGTGAATTACAGTGCTATACACAAGATTATGCATGGATCACTGTAGTATGACATCTTTAGCTCTTTGGGGAAGATACCTAAAAGAGGAATAGCTAGATCATACAGAATTTCTAATTTTAGTTCTTTGAGAAATCTCCTGATTTCCATACTAGTTTCCATAACAGTTGTGCTAGTTTACACTCCCACCAACAATGTAGGAGGGTTTCTTTTTCACTGCAGCCACACCAGTTCTTGCTATTCTTGGACTTCTTGACTGCCATGCTTTCCAGTGTAAGAGAGAATCTTAAGAGTTACTTTGATTTGTATTTCTCTAATGGCCAGACACTTATTTTTCCATATATTTGTTGGCCATAAGTACTACTTCTCCTGAGAAGTGTCTGCTCTTTTCACTTGCCCATTTCTTGATTGGGACTTTTATTTTGGGTGGTCTAATTTTTTTTAGTTCTTAATAAACTCTAGATATTAGTTCTTTGTCTGAGGAAAAGCTGGCAAAAATACTTTCCCTCTCTGCACACTGTCTCTTCACTCTACTAATTGATTCCTTTGCTGTGCAGAAGCTTTTGATGTAATTCCATTTGTTCATTCTTGCTGTTTTTTCTTATGCAATTGGAGTTCTGTTTTTTAAAAAAGTCCTTTCCTACACCCATGGCTTCAAGTGTTTTACCTTTTGTAGCTCAGTTTCCCCATATGTAGGGTCACGATAAGAACACAGGTCTCTCAAGGTTGGCAGACAGATGAAATGAGCTGGCAGAGCTGAAGGAGGAGGAATGGGAGCTAGCCAGGGGCACCTGCTCCATGAGCAAAGTCAGGGCACACCCTCCCAATCACACTGTGCACACTGCCAGGTGCCACTGACCTGTGGGACTCCGGCTCATGATGATGGGGGTGGCGGCTGCCCCCAGGCTGGGGCTCTCGCTGCTTGGGGACTGGCTGTAGAAAAATACATCCTGCTTGAAAGGTGAGGTTGTGGATGGCTGGCTGCTCTGGGGAGAGAGGTCGGGTGAGTGAGGCCAGTGCACCCGAAGAAGCACCACAAGAATACCTGCCAGGCAGGCCTGAGAGGCCCCCAAACCAAGGGTGACCACTGCCTCCCCCTCCCATACATGGATCTGTGCTTTCCTTCCTTCTGCTTCAGCCCTGGCTCCCACCTCTGACCCTCCAGGAAGGGCCTTGGACCCAAGCCCCAGGCCCATGGGGCACTGATCCCTTACCTCCCGAGCCAGGGTCCCCATGGCAAGGATACAACACAAGCCTGGCCCTGTTTCTCTATGGCTGCTATTATGTTACTCCAAGGGAGAGCCCTCACGCATTGCTCCCAGCAGACGGTGACAGCTGCCTGAGCCACCACTTCCATTTTATCCCCAGAGACAGAGCAGGGCTTTGCCCGCACTGCTATCTTAACGCACACAGGGCACTTCCCCAGTTGGACAGGAGTACTTACCCCACTGTCACACTCCTCTATGGCCTCGCCCTCCCCTGCGGTGCTGCTGAAGCTGCTGGTGCTGGAGGAGGAGCGGGAGATGTTGGCCCGGCCGTTCTCCTTCAACTTTATGAAGGGCCTGCAGGGAAGGGGAAGAGGGGCAAGCCCTGGTCACTTGCCACCAAGCCCTCGCTCAGCTCCAGGCCTCCCCAGACCAAAAGCAGGACAGCCCAGAAGAGACCTGAGCTCGCCTACAGTGGCCCTCTGTACCCCTGCTGGCCAGCCTTTTGGTTCCAGAAGAGGCAGTCACTCTGAGCTTGTCTAGAGCCAGAACAAATGTTCCAGGCTCCAAACGGCTACAACCAGTCTTTCCCTCCCCTCACTTTCTTACTTCTCCTTGTTGGGGTAGATTTCTGGAGAGCTGGGATTGGATGAGGTCTCAGACTTTATCTCCTGAGAAGACTGTGCACCATCCGGGGTCTTGGGGGTGCTGGATGCACTGTCACTGAAGAAAGGAGAACAAAGTTAAGTGAGACCATGGAGCCAGCCCTGAGCCTTTGGTCCACTTGCAGGCCTGAGACAGAGCTCTGGCCCAAGCACCTTGCACAAAGGGTATCTGCCCAGACTTCTTTTCCCATACCAGCTCCTGAAACTGCAGTAGACAACAGGGTTTTATGATCCCTGTGGTGAGGACCTCTCTAGGCTCAAGGGTGGAGAATTCAGAATTGTCCATAGGAATCCTGGCTTGATGACTTTTAGCCCAAGTCTCCACATCTCTCCTAGCTTGCTGTCCCACCTGGGTCAAGAGAGGACCCCACAGAGAACAGAGTGAGTGTTCCGCACAGGGAAAAGAGGCTCTGTTCAGGAGATGGCCCAATACACAGGAATTCCTATTTTGTAAGGTTCCAAGAAGTCTGCAGTATAACTAAAAAACTATAATAAGCATATAAACTATAATATCAGCTCCCTGGGCCCATGTGGCAGGGTGGCCCTAGGTGTTGGGGAGCAAAAAGCTGCTCTTAGCACAAGAGTCCCAAAGTTCCCTTCGCTTGCAGTTCAACCCTGTGCCACCTGCTGGGGACATGACCACTTAGTCCTCAGTGCACTTTTTAAAACAATAGCATGATTGAGATAAAACAGACATACCACACAACCCACTCATTTAAAATGGTCAATTAAATGATTTTTGTATATTCACAGAATTGTGCAACCATCACCACAATCCAATGTTACAACATTTTTAAACCTCCTAGAAGAAACCCTGGCCCCATCAGCAAACACGGCCCATCCTTTCTCCCCTTCACACTCTGGCAACCACTGATCTATTTTCTGTCTCTATGGATTTGCCTGTCTAGACATTTCACAGAAATGGAATCGTACAGTATGTCATGGTCTTTATGTCTGGCTTTTTTCATCAGCATAATGCTGTAGCATGCATGACTACTTTAGTCCTTTTTACTGCAAAATAGTATTTCACTTTATGGGTAGACCATATTTTTTGATCTAGTCATCAAGTGATAGACATTTGGATTGTCCCCATTCTGGGCCATTATGAATAGTGCCACAGTGGATATGTGCATTAATTATGCTACTGTACCAGTTTTATGGACAACTGTTTTCAATTCCCTCAGGTAGAAACCTAGGAACAGAATTGCTGGGTCCCATGGTAACCCTAACCCTAACCTGCTGAAGAACTGCCAGGTGTTTTCCAAAGCAGTCTGCACTATTTTACATCCCCACCAACTATGAACAAGGGCTCTGACTTTTCATCTCCCAACACTTGCTATTGTCTATTTTTATCACAGCCACCCTAGAGGTGTTAAGTGTCTCCGTGCAGCTTATGAAGAGGTTGCCAGTGACCTCCTCACTATCAACCCTCAACTCACACAGGGATTTGGGTCTCTGTGCTAGACTTGCCTGCACATCAGACCCTAATGGAATTTCTGTCCTCACAGCTTCAGAGACCCTGCCTTCTGCATCCTCGCCTTCTCTTTCCTTCCCAGCATCTTCACCAGTTCTCTATCCTCCACACGCCCTCTCCAGGTGACCATAGTCATTAGTTCATCCCTCCTTAGCACCTGCAGCCCAGAGTTGCCCAACTTTCTTTTACCAAAACCTCTGTCCAAAACTCAAGAGTTGGACACCTGTAGTGATGGGTGGCCCACGAGACTTCCAAGCACAGGTTCCAAACAGAACTTTTTGGTCTTTCTCTATAAACCTGCCCCTGGTCCTGCATGCCCTAGCTTAGGGCCTGAGACCACCACCCAGGGCCACTGGCAGACAACTTGCAAGTCCATCTAAATGTCTTTTTTTCCTCATAGGACTGTGAGACAGAAGGCTGGTGTGTGCCTTTGGTGGCTCTGACTGAGCACTCAGCAGCACACCTAGCATAGGGCAGGCACTCAATAAATGTTGCTTGCTAAATTAAAGAACAAATGGGATCATCAATTAAAGAAACACAAAGACAACTAGCAAGAATAGGTTAAAGTATGTTGTAATGAGAGTTACTAAAAAAAAAAAATTGAACATTCTAGAAGTCTAGAAAGTCAATTAACTCTCCTGGCAGAATCAGGGAAGGATTTCATAAGAGGGGGTCTTTGGATCTCAGGGTGTAGCTGAGTGATATCGTTATTACCTAACATGCACAAAGCCCTGGGTTCTATCCCCAGTACTTCAAAAAGGATATCTGAGGGACAGATATTTAGCTCAGTGGTGCTGCACACCTCCCTCATAAGTACAAGGTCCTGAGTTCCATCCTTGGTACCCCAAAAAAGGGACATCTGAATGAGAATTTTAAAAGAAGGCAAAGAAAGACTAGAATCCAAGCACCATTTCTAGCCTAGGTCAAAATGTTGCCACAAACAGCTTTGGAGTTCCATGTAAAGAATGGCCATATTGGGCTCAGTGACAGGCCATGCAGGTGCCTAAAGTGAGCCAGGGGTTAAAGGGAAGCCATCTCCTGAAGCCAAACCAAGTTCTCCCCAAGTGTGAGCACCCGACCACTGTTAAGGTGCAGACAGCTGACAGACTCCAAGTTGGGCTGGAATAAGGGCTCCTGCAGTTACCATCGTGTCCGGCTGTCCCCCTGGCCTTCAGAGCCTGTATGCAGGCGAGGGAAGAGCCCCGACCGCCGCTTGATGGGGCTCCGAGACTGGTTCTTCACTGTCGCCGCCACCACCGGAGGCTGCCATGAAACCGCCAGAGTGAGTGAACATGCCCCAAACCCAGGCCTCCATCCTTCCCCCTCTCTGGTCTATGATGGCTCCTGTTTGCAGGAGACCTCCAAAAATAGCAAGACAGCTAAGGGCAGGGTCTATGTAACAGGAGCTGAGACCCCAGGACTCAAGCCACTGGCATCCTCTTTCCTGGGAAAGCCAAGCCCCTGACTCCAGGTAATGATCCAACAATTGCCACATCCCTGTGGGACCACGGGGTCAGATCACCATGTGGGAGCCCTACGTATCATCAAGGTCATGATGATTCAGAGGTCACAGACTCAGAACCACAAAGCTAGAGAGAATAACCTGGTTCAACCTTTCATTTCACCAATGAGGAAGCTGAGGCCCAGAGAGGGGAGGCGATTTTGCCCAAGGTTAACTAGCAAATCACTGGCAGAATGAGGACAAGAACCCAGGGCTCTGGATGCTCCATCCACTGCTCATGAATAAGTGATCCCAGGCAGGAGTTAATGTAGCAATAGGCAGTGTGGAGCCAGCCATGGTTTCTGCTTTAAAAGCTGCCTGCCTGGCCTCACAGATGCACAGTGGAGCGGGGAAAAGTTTGAGGAAGGAGAGGGGAGAGCCTCAGCCAGTGTTTAAGGATTCTAACCTAGGCCCCAATTTCTGCCATGCATGTGCTGTACAACCATAGACAGATGGAAAAACTCATTGGGCCTCAGTCGCCTCATCTGCAGAATGGAAACAAATCCCTGCTCTGCTCATATCGTGGCATTCTGGGAAATAAGAAAACAGGAATAAAAATATTTGGCAAATTAAATTAATTGTGCAGGGCCATTTATAGTAAGAATCATCAGTATCACGGTGAGGCTGTTCTGTTATTTAAAAGAAGATGAAAAGGAAATCCTAGTCCACACAAATCCGAAGCTACTTCTTTGGTTCACTTATAAATGGATCAGTTAGTAGTTCTCTCATCTGCCCAGGAGAATCGGATCCAAATCAGTCAGGCTGAGTTCACAGGCCCACACAGCCTCTCCCCTTGGGAAGTGTACACATAGCGATGAAGAGAATAAACTCTGAATCAGGCAGGCCTACATTCAAATCCCAGCTCTTCAGCTTAGCTGAGTGGCCTCTGGCAAGTTACTTAACCTCTCTAGTACCTGCTTCAGGCAGCTTGGCCAGGGATTAGGTAAAATGTTGTCTGAGTAACTTAATTCAGTGCCTGGTGAACTGCAAATGGGTGGCTACTGCAGTCGTTAATAATAACAAAGAATAGGCACCCTTCTCCCAGGCAAAAGTCTCAAGGCCCTGGGCAGAAAATCGCACTCCACACCATCTTGCAGAGTTGGAGACTGGATTGTCTAGGAAAGTCACAGGACAAGTGGGTTTCTATTGCAGGCCAACCCCAGGTGCTACCAAAGACAGAGGCTCCAAAGATCGTTAGCAGAGGGCAGACACTGGATCATCCCCAGGCAATCTGTTTCTCTCTGTCATCCAGCTTGCCCTGCTCAAGTTGCTTAGCCCTTCCTAAAACCTCCCAAGTTTTGTGGGGACACTCCCTGGCCCTAACCCCGGGTCTGCTGTACTCACCGAGAAGGTAGTTTTAGTGACTTCCATGCTGTTGTGAACGATGCCCCCACTGAGGCTGCCAGGGATGCTTCCGCTGTGCAGCTTCCTCTGGCTGCCCACCATGGTCTCCATGGAGTGGCTGCGCACACGGATGGCCCTCTGTAAGGAGAAGGGAGGGGTGCAAAGGCCCTGTGAGTCAGCACCGAGGTCCCTTGGAGCACCCTGTCCTTGCCACGTGTGCATTCATACATGCACGTGTGCATACATATACACACACATACAATAAGCACAGTCAGGAGACCCATGCCATAGTCACTAGAGTTTACAGAGTTTTCCCACATTCTGTCCCATGCTCTGGTGAGGCAGTACATCAGGTAGGTAGCCTGAGGGGTCCAGGCCCCAGTTCATCCTACAGGTAAGAGAAGTGAGGTGCGGGTCTCAGCAGACCCGGCGACACTGGTACAGCTATCAACTTCCTCCTCTGAAAAATGGGAATCATATATTCCACAAAGGATTAAGGTGGGGATTAAGCACAGTCAGGCTCTGGACTGCATGTTGACTCTTTTCAGAAAGCTCAACTTCTTTTCAGATGTCTGTAGTGGACCTTCTGCTGCTGTCATCCTAAAGTGTACTTCGCACAGCTGGGCCTACACTTGCCCTTAGTGAAACTGCATGAGGAGTTCCTGCTCATCCATGCATGAAATGTGCATCAAGCCCTCCCTCGTGCTTGCAGGGGCTGCAGACACACTTCCACTCCAAGCTGTCATCTGCATGGCTGCTGAAAGAGATGTGAGTTCAGACAGCCACAGGTGCAGTCTCCGCGGGTACAGAGTTGCTCAGGCTCTTGGAGCCTTGAATCCACCTAGGACCACCGAAGAGTAAGGGGCGAGCCAGAAATCAGTGAAGGGTCCAGGAGAGGATCGCCAGAATGGTCAGGTCTGTCACAGTACCTGAGAGGACAAGAAGAAAACTAAAGAACAAAGATCCCTGAGCCGTGGTGGGGATGGGCCTGGGGTGACAGCCATGCCCTTGGACTGTTTTATAAGGTGGCATAGCTCTACACAGGACCATAGGGGAGTGGTTTTGGTGCAGCAGAGCTCAGCTCCATCTAAGGGGTCTCCTGCCACGTGAAGTCTGAGAAGATTCTGGCTCCCCAACATGGATGATGGTCTCCCACATTCTAGCATTCTAAGAAGAGGAGGTTCTCTCCAGTGACCTCCAGAGCTTTGCATCACCACTACTTGGCCATCTGATCACTTAATTATAGAGTCAGTGGCCATGCAACTTAGCAGTCAAATGCATGACAGCCTTAGGTTGCACTGCAGCATTTATACCATCTAGGCTCTCTACTCCCTCACTCACCAGCTGTGTATCCTGGTAAGATTACTTAGCTTCTCAGAGATGTGTCTGTGAAATGGGATGGAGGATGCCTACACCAGGGGGCTGTTGTGAGAATACACATGATGCTTCTAAGAGACAGCCAAGTGCACTGCAAGGACTTAATAAATGTGGGCATCCTTCCTATTAATAACAAGCATTTGTCATATGCTTCCCACGTGTCCAGCCCCATACTAGTCCAGAGGCCAAAAAAGTGGGAGACGTGACCCTGCCTGCAAGGAGCACAAGTACAAGTATCCTCTGCCGCAGTCACTTCTCACTGGTAGAACTACTCTAGTCCAACATTCTCCTCCTCCACAGGACATAGGAATAAGTCATGACCAGGCTAAGGCTGTCACTTAATACAGCCTCTGGTCAGTGGAGCATGAGGGGATATCTGCTGGGGGAGCTGGGGAAAGGCTTCCTCCATGGTTTCCAAAAGTGATGCATCTGAAACCCCAGCAGCCACCTTGGAACCACTCCAGAGAAGCACACTGACCAGCCGCAAGCTGCAGATGGCAAAGGGAAGGAAGGAAAAGAAGCTGGATGCCCATGACCAACTGAGCCTCAAGTTGCCTCTGTCTTCTCAACCTGTGAGTTAATAGGCTTTCCTCACTGTGGTGAGAGTCTAGCAGGAGAGGGTATTCTCAAGAGCCTGGCATAAAGGACTGAGCCATGGCCTGCTCCCTTCCTCTCTGGACTTCGATCCCACACACACCCCATGTGCCAGCGGACAGATGTCTCCTTGCAGCACCCAAGGAAGAGTTCAGTCTCTGGCAAGGTGGTCCCAGCAAAACCACATAAATACCACTCTCACCCCAAGTCTCCCTGGGACCTCTCAAGGCCAGGAACTTTCCCAGCCTAGAAACACCTGCCTGCCCTTCTATCCTGACTAAGAAAACAGACTCAAGAAGACCATCTGTAAGTACGACAGCCCCTGAAATGAGATACGGAGGCTGAGGCACGGAGCCCACCAACCATGTACCCGATATCATCTGGCCTCTCTTCTCTGAGTCAAAGATGCTCCTAGGAGGACATCATCTCTCTCCCTTTCTTCACCACAGAACACAGAGGGCTCAGTGGGTTCCATTTGCACTGCTAACTTTGAACCCTATCTACTTAACTCACACAACGCCTAGCGATAGAGTTCCATGACATGGCTGGAACATCAAGCACATTCGGCTCCTGCCACCACCAAAGGATGGTAAATTCACATATCCTCTGGAAAACAGAGGGCCAGGAAATGTGGCAGCACCCTAAAGGGTCCTTGGATGAACAATGAGGTAAGTTTTCAGCATCGCTACCCTCCTCTGGTACCTCACGTGTTGCTACCCACTATCGTCATCAAAAGTAACATTTCAAACTAATCTTTTCTTTTCTTTCTTTCTTTTTTTTTTTTTTTTTTTTTTTTTTTTGCAGTGCAAGGAATAGAATCTAGATCACTCACCCATAGCCCTACTCCAAAGTCATCGCTTATGTTCTGATAAATTCCTCACTGTCTCTGTCTCAGAGAGGAGTCAATGTGGGTAATAAACCCTGTGAGGTGGTATCTGGTCTGACAAGCTTCCAATGCTAAGGTACAGAGAAGACAGATAAGAAAAATCTTCAAAGGGTAAATAAATGATGGCCCAAGGCCACAAGGCAAGTAAGAAAGATGTGGAGAATGACGTAGGACCCAAGCCCAGGATCCTGGGCTCCAGGTGAAAAGGTTTCTTCATTCCCTAAAAATGGTTTGATTGAAAATAGAATTCAACCCTCTCATGAATTAATGTTGACTAGAAACCAGGAGGCCTCAAGGACTTCCCTTAAAAACCTCAGAGGCCGAGGTCAGGGAGGACAACATCTCCTCAAATGCCCTGGGTTCTGCTGTCAGAATCAGCAAGGTAAGTGTGAGGAAACAATGGGGAATTGTGATTATGTGCAGGATGGCAGTCTGCTGATTGAAGAAAAAACCAGGAAAGGCCGACTCCTAGTCCTCTCACTGCTCAGCAGGTGAAGCTCTCGGAGACACACGCTGGTACCGTGCGGTCATCCCTGGAGAAGGTGTTATGAGGATGACGTGACACCGTGTGCACCCAACTCGTGGCATGAGACCATCCCACTCAGGGTCAGCGCTCCTGCCCCATCTTAGTGAGAGAGGTGACAGTTAGCACTAAGCTCTAAAAATAATTCTTGACTTGGATAAACGTGCCCGGTTTCACATTTCAATCTGATGGAAAACTGTACAGAAGCAATGGCCTTCTCAAGCCAGGGAGAAGAGTCAGAAAGAAAGATGAAGAAAAAGGACAGTGATGGTGATGGGAAACAAAGGCAGGAGAGAAAACAGGCCTGTGAAGCCCTGCGTTGGCTTTAGGAGGTCTCCAGAGGCCACATGGACTCCTTCTCAGTCCCTTGTCCCTCCCTGGAAAATCAGTGTCCAGGGATGGACTGCTCACGCATTCAAGACTGCCTCTTCTAGTGGTTGACAGTCGGACCTCCTTCTCTGCACCAAGCTGTGATCTCACCCAAGTGCTAGACCTCTCGAGCCAGTCTATTTGATCACTTCCTGTGACTGCCCCTTACTGTCCTCAGACTCTGCTGTCCTCTTAGCCTATGGTCTCTGGCTCCATCAGCCTCCCTCAGTTATTATGGGCTCCCAGCCCTCGGCACAGCTCATTGCTTGCCTTTGAATAAGCGCTCTTTAGAGGGACTGGAACGACAGAGATGGCACTGCTTTCTCATTACTTACATGTGTCACTGAATCTCCACCCCAAGGTTGAGCACCAGTGAGTACCACAAAGGGAGCAATTCCCTTCCTCGACAACCACACTATTCATCTCCTTACAAGTGGGTTTATGAGTCATCTCAATTTTACAAACTCAACTTAAGGGAGAAAAATCAAGGAGATGACCACCAAAGGGGACATGCCTATCTGAATCAGGTAAGTACCAGAGGCAGGGGCTCTTGGAGTCAAAGATGTGAACTTCCTGACTGCTGAGCTTCTCAGTCTGGGAGAACTCTGAGGGCCGGGGCTCCAGCAGGGCAAATATGAGACAGAAGATGATCGCTGTACACATGAGCTGAGCTGAGCAGCACAAGGCGTGGACTATCTCTCACTCTATCCCCAGCAGAGCCATCCTAGAACTATAACTTTCTGTCTCCAGAGGAAAAGGAAGGAGCCAAGATGCCAGAGGCTAGGGATCCTGCCCAGCTTGCCGGGCTCTGTCCATCATCACAGGCACTGCTTGGGCTGCCTCTGCCTGCCAGGGATGTCTGTGGCCTCTCTTGCCACTAGGGGTCAGGTCAGACCAACAGTTAACTATCACAGGCCTTCAAAGGCTGGGCAAAATGATCCTGCTCGCTGTGATCCCCGTGTTTTGTCTTCCCTCGTCCTTGTCCTCCATTTCCACTCCTCTATAATGAGGTCGGGCAGAGCCGGGCAACTTCAGTGTTTCTAAACACATGGTATACATGCACTTTATGCCCGTATTACATGGATACATCATGTATTGTCACATTTTCATTACAGATCAGTAAAACCTTGGTGAGCAGCTGGCAGGGGCAGAAAATGTCATTTCAGAACAACAGTCTAAAGATCAATACCTTTCAAAGATGAGTGATTTACAGCTCCTTTATAGAGAAAAACTCCCAAGCAGATATCCAGACCCCCCACACACACACACCATGTGCTCCATTCGCAACGCTGACTTTGTACTTTATCTACTTATTCCATACAAACACCCTTTAATAGCAGTCATCACCGCAAAAGTTTAGACTTTATCAATGGAAATCTATATATTTTTTAAGATTATCATCTAAATGAAAACACACTTTAAAGGTACTGGTAGAACTGGTAGGTTCCTGAGAATCCCTCCAAGTACTCACTGAAAAGCAGGTCTAGATGTGGGCAAACCAACAGGTCTGTGTCATATGGAGGAAAATCTCCAATTACAGCCACTAGAACTGAAGTGAAACGCGAGGAAGTACTCCATGTGACACGGGGCACCAGGCAGCACAACCTGGGGCCATAGAAGGCCTGCTCCTTGAGGCACAAAGAGCTACGTGTGGTCCTCTAGGATGGGGAAGACCCGTCTCAAGAGAGGAGAGGGTATGGACAGCTGCAAAGGCTCTCAGCTCTGAGAATTCTCATCACCTGTCCAGCTGCCTGTGAGATAAAGGCTTTGACAGGAAGGAGATAAAAAAGCACAAGTTTTCTTCCTAGAATCATTTCAGGCACCACTTTAAGAGGAATCCTGTGCATGTCTGGGTGAGCTCCAAGAAGAAGATCTCTGACACCATAGCTCTATGAGAGACACCTGAGAAGAAAAGACAAAACCAAAGATGGCTGCCTGAGCTGGGCCAGAGCCTGACCTGCCTCCACGTAGGAGACAGGAAAGCAATATTGTAAAGGATGGGAAAAGAGAATGTGTGTTCCCCAGCTCGGAGGCAAAAAAAGCTGATTATCATCATTAAAGCTCAGATGGCTTGCTCTGCGTGACTGACTGTGACAGTCCCCTCCAGCTCCCACAGCATGACCTTGGAGGCAGATGTGACAGCCAAATGGAGAAACAGGTCTGTCTTCAACCTACAGTTGTGAGGATTTAGGGTTGGAAAGAAGAATTCCCTGGATTACTGGCTCAAAGATGAGTCATGAAAAAGTCTTGAAGCAACTTCTGCCTAGGAAATCCCTTTTGCAGTATGTCAGACACTCTGGAGTCAAACATAGATCAACTGCCACTCCTACCAGAGACAGGGGACTGGACAAAATGGTTTCAGACCACTGTCCTTTAGACCTGCCACCTATATTTAGCTGCTGGAATATCTCATCTGCTGGACATTATGGACAGAGTATCCATAACGTACAAGCTTCTCCAAGTTGTGAAAATATACGAAAAAAAACTACTGTTAATTTTAAAATACAAAAAGAAAGCTGCAAAACTCAAAGCAATAAATGTTTCATTAGTGTAGAAAAAGAACATCATTATTTTAGCTAGTTAACTGCAGCTCAACTCTGGTCGTTTTATACAGATTACATTTGCTGTGGGATGTGGGATGTTGATATGCTTGATAGGAGGGATGGAGCCTCCAGAAGAGTCCAAAGCTTTGAAGGCCTTTAAGTGGCCCTGCCTTTCTGCCTCCCCAAGGCCCACACCCATTTTCCTATTACCAGGTCTTCTACTTACCCTTCTTTCAGCTGAGCAATCCTCCCCTATTCCTTTTCTCCTTCATCCCTCTTGCATTTTGATCCCCAAGATTTCTCCTATTTCACCCTGGTTGCCACCGTCCATCAGGACTAGAACAGATGCCCCAGGAATCTCCCACCAGCCTGGACAAGCAGCTCCCCCTCCCACCCTGACAAGGAATCTTAGCAGCTGGCTCCTGGGAGGCCAGCAGAGCCATACCTTGCCCTCAGCCATCCATCTGGGCAATGAGCGACTGACCCCAGGCCTGCCTGGGCCCAAGCCAACACGGGTGGAATCTTAACTGAGTCGGAAACTGGGAGGGAGTATCAAATAGCTGTTAATAGCCTAAGTTCTGGAATCTAGAAGACCTGAATTCAACTCTGTCTCCAGGGTGACTAGGGACAAATTATTTAGTCTCTTTGAGTCTTAGTTTCTTTACATATAAAACTATGCCTATAATCATTAAAAGCAAGACTGAATTATTATGCCAAGAATATTATACCCATAACAGCATTCCCCACAGGGCACACAGAGCAGTTGGGAGATTTAAAATAGGATAATATGTAAGCTCTCACTTTATTCAATAACAGCTAATACTTTGGGGCATTCACTGCATTGCAGGCAATATGTACTTTCTAGGCATTATTTCAATGAATTCTCACAACTCTGTGACAGAGACCAAATTTATCATCCCAGTGTCATTAGCAAGAAAACTATAGCTTAGAGGCTTTAAAGATTGCCCAGCATCATGCAAAATTGGGATTTGAAATCAGGAAGATTTAATCCTAACCCTACTCACAATGGGCCCCACATGGTAGCTCGATTAACCACTCTCTGGTAAGCAATCCCGAGAACCTGGATTTGAAACAAGGCTCTACCTACAAGGTATAAGGTCTTGAGAAGTCCTGTGGCCTCTCTCAGCCTGTTCCTGCAGGTGTTAGTGGAAATAACAAGAAACAACCACCCAGCCAACTGCCTCCAAATCAGATGCTGGATATTTGTGCAGTAGGGACCCAACAAGTATGAAGCCAGCACATGACAAACATTCTCTCCCGCACCCGTTCTGTCACTGTCCAAGCTCCATTTGAATACTTCCAGGGACAAGGAGCTCACTGCTTTCTTGAGTCCCTTTGCAAAGCCCAAAAGGACTTGCCTGGGTCTCTATCCCACCACCCAGCCCGGGCTCCAGGACCTTTCCAGGTGGAACAAATCACTGCAGCATCCCATATGAGCTTCCAAGGACCGCCCCCCAGGATTGTGTCCTTGCTCCTGCCTTCCTTCCCTGGAGTCCACCCCAGCAGAGGAGGCAGATGACAACAGTGACATACTGAGTCCTCTTTCACCAGTGCCTGTCCCTACTTCCCAGAGTCTTGGGCTACAAGGAGGGAAGTAGAGGACACTAGAGATATTGTTGGCTGCTCTAACCTCTCATGCTGCCTGACCACTCTGCCCTCTTCAAATACCTGGAACGTCCCTACTAGTCCTGTCGCTTATGACTGGCCCAGGGCTCTAGGCTTCAGATCTCAGGAATCTCAGACCACTTCTTTGTCCCACCCCTCCCTGCCACAGCAACCCATCATCACCACCATATCCATACCTTAAAAGACTCCAGGAAGCCCCCGTGACCCCCGTTCTCAAACTTGTCCTCCTCAGGGCCCAGTCCTAGCATGGCCTGTGTGTGTGTGTGCAGCTCATCATGAAGGTTGTCTAGGAGGGCAGCTCTGGTCCGGTCCTGGAAGGGAAGAGGGTACAAGTGGAAAAGCTAATGATGACAACAGAGTTGTGCCTCCTTGAGGCCTGAGGGCTGCTATTCTGCTACCACATCCCTGCCACAGTGTGAACCCAGTTCATGCTGCTGTTAATGCAAATGCTCTATGCTCAGCCCTCTGCTCTAGTCGTTCTGCCCCTTCTCCCTGGGCCATCCCACCACTCAGGGTTTTACCCTGGGAAGATACCATCCCCCATTCTCTGCCCAAGCTCCACATCCACAGCTTTTCCAGCCAGATACCTGCCCAAGGCGATGCATGCAGCCTCCAGGGGGCGCCATTCACACAGGCCAACAAAATTCATTGCAGCAGCTGGGTCTTGGCAGGCCCCTGAGAAGTACGTCCTAACAGAACTGTCTCCCAGTCATCTCCACGTCACCAGAGCTGTCCTGGAATTCCATCTGCCCCCACCCTTACCCCCAGGGGTCCATCATATCTAAATCATTTCCTCATGTAAGCCTTCATCATCTCTGTTAGGCACCTGCTAATTGCTTCTAACTGGCCACCATTCCTGCTTTCCTCCCTTTTAACCTATCCTTTCCACTTCTGAGCAATCCCTCTAGCATGCAAATCAAATACTGTCTTGCCTAAGAACCTTACAGCACCAATAACCTGCAACTCACAGGCCTTCTTGATCTGCACTAACCGCCATCTACAGCTGAGCCCCCACCACTCCCGCCCCGAAAAGACTTCTGTGAGGCCACACCAGGCCCTCAGGAGCCCCCGTGGAGTCATGCTTTGACTCTGACTGGACTTTGCTCATGCTATCACCATGCCTGGAATAACCTTCCCCTGCTCTTTCTTCCTGAAAACTTCACTGGACATCAAGCTTCAGCAGCTCATAAGCCATCCCCTCCAAGAAGCCTTCCCTGAGTACAGTGTTCAGTCTCCCCTTCCTGAGCAGAAGCAGACACTATTCTCTGAGCAGTTCTAACTCCAACATGCCCCAGAGCGGGAATGGCCCATTAAACTGTATCTTCAATAAGGTCCCCTCCACTAGCTTGGGAACTCTATTGTCTTGTTTATCCCTGTATCCTAGGGAACAGAACAAGGCCCGGCACATAGTAGATACTCAGTGAATGATTGCTGAATGGCTGGCTAGAACCGGACTTGAAGGAGTTTCCACAAGAAGGAAGAGTTCCCATGATCAACAAAGGGCCAAAGTCCTCCCCTCAAAAAGCCTAGGGTGAGACCCTGCCCTAAGGGAGGCTGGTTACAGCAGCCTAGGAGAAGACCCTGAACACTCATACTCTCACCTCCAGCTTGGCAAACTTGTCTGACTTGCAGCAAGCGTTCTCCGCATTGGTGAGCTTGGTGAGCAGAAACTCCCGGAACTCCGGGCCCTGCAACAGACAAGATGGCCCAGAACTCTTCCACCCTCCACTGCTGCCACAGTAGCAGGAGGGCAGAACAGGAGATCTTGGCACAGCCCAGGCCAGGCCTGTCTGCTAATATGTCAACATGAAAGCAAGCTTCCCTGGTCCTAGGTAATACCCCTCCAGAGTGGCACTTCCATGACTGGAGGAAGTGCTTGCCCAAGGCTTCACAGAAGGGCAAAGCGCTAAAACCCTTCCTTTAGCAGGAAAGGCAACCCAGCATCAGACACCCCTCCGCTGTGGCCCTCTCTTGGGCCAGACTGGCAGCATGCAGAAAAGGCAGGAAGGGAAAGAAGTAAAGAGACTCCCCCAAAATCTGCAAAAGGGCCTTCCTGAGGTTCCCAGCCCAGGTTCTGCCCCAATCCAATGCTGTACTCAAGTACAGAAACCTATGGTCTTAGGAGAGGAGTAGCAGAGTTTCTTACCTTCTGGAAAACAGGGGGGTTGGGCAGAGGGGGGCCAAAGGCAGGCACATCTTCTCGCGCAGTGACAGAGACCTGAACAAAACAGTCACATGTGGGTTAGGAGGAAAGACCCACTCCTGTAGCAAATCTATTCACCTGCTCCCCCACCCGCTTCCCGAATACAAGTAAAATGCCCCTGCGAGCATCGCCAGCACAGGCCCTGGACCACTGCTCCTAGAAATGGGGCTGGACAGTGTGAGCCCAGTGCATTCTCTCCTCTGCCTTCCTAGAGGCCAGAAGTAAGTTAGGCAAGGTGATGAGCAGCGGCCAGGACCCTGATGATAACAGAGCATGTGCCCAAGGCAGTGTTATCTCATTACCTCGTGTGATTGTGATGTTAAGCCGACAGAGAAAGCGTAAGATTATGATTACCTTTATCTTTACCAATGAGGAAACAGATGCCCAGAGACATGGAGTGAGCCCCTCAAAGTCATGCGGGTGATTAGCCACAGAGAGGAACAGAGAATCCTGACCTCTCCTGTCCCAACTCTGGGGTTCTTTCCCTACCACACCGACCCCTGAACCTGGCCACGCATCAGATGCTTCTGGTGCTTAAAAAGTAAACACTGATTACATAGGAAACTCTGGGTTCCTGGGAGCTTTTGCACAGCCAGCGGACCAGGGTCCAGAGGCCTCGTCTCATATACAAGGTTGGCCCATCTGGCTCGGGCATGAACTAAGAAAGCTCCAGGGTCTGGACTAGGGTTTGAGGGTAGAGGGCATCCAGGCTGGGGCCAGCATGGCTGAACTCCAAGTGCTTTGCATGGGAGTCACCCAGGCCCCACACCTCGCCTCTTCTCTGCGTGGTGGTGCCCTGGCTTCACCTGCTCCCCATTTATAAGGCTGCAGAGTTCTCAGGAGGCTGCCCACTCCCTTCTCCCAGCGGCTGCTGCCGTGACTGGGCGCTGGCCTGCTGCTAGCCTCCCTGCCCTGTGAAGTGGGGCAATGCAGAAAGCCTGCTGGACCGGGTGAGCAGGCAGCCAGGCACAGAGCCAAGACGAAAGGGCCTGCCAGGGTCCAGAGGGGAGGAAGCGGGAAGCGGGAGAGAGTTGGTCAATACAGCCTTTCTCTCCCCAAGCTCAAGGCTGTCTACACAGCTCGACTGCAGTGCCCAGACTCAGGAAATGGTGTGTGTTAGCTGACATGATTTCTGGCTGGGCTTCAGCTGCTGAATGCAGTTCCCTGCCACCACCCACTGTGCACTGAGGGCCCACAGCAAGAATTGTACCCACGGAGCCAAAATTGGGGGGGTGGGCTGCCAAGCAGCAGTGACCACAGGCATCTGGGACACCTGGGACAAAGAACAGAAATGCACCCAGCTGTTTCCCCCACCCACCCTCTTCCCTCTGAGGCCTGTGTTACAGTGATCTGTGCCGACAGGGTAAGTAGCTTCAGATGTACCCTTAAATCCACACAAGTCTTCTGGCCAGAAAACCCCACTGCAGCAGCCCGTCAAAAATGCAGGGGCCTGGGGCCAATGCCCTCCTGATGATATCCATTGTCTTTTATCCTTGTCCTGCTTCCCTTTCTGACCCCACTCCAACGAGGGAGCCAGGCCTTTGTTCCTTCCTCTTGGGCATGTTTGCATTGCTTCTGAAAGCAGAAGTTGCCTGAATACAGTCCCCCATCTTCCTGTTTCTAAATCCAGCAAAGGCTCAGAGGGAGTGCTGGCAGCAGGTGCTCTCAGGAAGAGCATCTTCATGGATGGAAAGCAGAAGGAACTTGGGTGCGGGGGCCCTGAGGAGGTGCCTAGGAGGTGGGGGAACTGAAAGCCAGAAATCCGACCAAGTCCCCAAGCCCAGGTATGGCCTGCCACGTCAGAGGACCATGGAGGGTTGTCCAAGCAACAGATGAGTCGAGGTGGGAAGAAAGCAAGCCCTTCCCAGGGGTCTGCTTCATAGAAGATTCCTGAATCCTTGGCAGGACCTCAAGAACGGGGCAGTGATACCCCAAGATGGGGAAGGAGTCCTAATGATGGACAAACTGAAATTTTCTTCTAATCTGGCCAAAAAGGAACTAAATTCCTACCTGAAAAATAATCCAATGTGACATTTCCTGGGCTTATGCAAGCAGTTTCCCACCTGCTCCAATTGTGCCACAGGCAGACCCGGACAGGCAATTTCAGATCCACAGCCCCCTGGCTCTGCAGCTCCAAGCCTTACACAACCTAAGCTCTTAGCCTCAGTGTTCTCCCTGCAACAGCAGGACTCACCAGGGCTGTGAGAATTCAAGAAGACTGTGCTTCTAACACAGTGCCTAGCTCAAGCAAGGGGCTGAGCTGAATCTAGTAAAGTTCACCTAAAATCCAGCACTGCCCCCAAACCACTTTGCAATTCACACATACATACACACTGTCTGTCTCAACTCCTCCTCCCCTCCCCAGTAGGATGTCAGGCTGGAAGGAGCTCACGAGTAATCTAGGCCAACTTCCTCATTGTGAAAGGACAGAAACTGAGGCCCAGAAAGGAAAGGAATTGGCCCAGGGTCACAGAAGGTCAGAGGTAGGGCTAGGACAAGACTGGTTAGGGCCCTTTGCTATACATTCCACCCTCATCCTTCCCTCCTTTTCTTTCCTGCTGTTCACTGATCTTGGCACAGGCTTTCTGGGTATTGCTCATCCCCTGGGGAAATCCTGTCCCCTAAGCCTGAAGGGGTCAGCTAAGGTCCTCTTTCACCAGGATCCCTGAGGGATTTAATCAAAACCTTCTCACAGTCTTCGCTTTGCACTTTGGGGTGCCTTTGAAGGCTGGTCTCCTACCCTGCCCTCTGCCTCTCAGGCCGCAATTCCACCTGGATGTCTGCCTGACAGGGGGCGGGTAAGATCAAGATCCCATATCCTGAGGATTCAGCCCTGCTCTGCTGCTCCCCAGCACCTCTCTGAGGACCAAACCTTGCCCTGGACTCAGACTGTGGTTTGGAAGACTACATTTTCAGCCTCAAAGCTGGAAGTGAGTAGTGCTTTTTGGAGCTCCGCTGTTTCTCTAAATGGGTGCAGCCCTCTGATAAACTCCCGGGAAAGTGCAGAACCCTGTTAGCTGAGATTCATTTCCTCTAAGGAACAAAAGGTAAATATTAAATGTGCCTAAGAACCCTCAGTCTATTAGCAGAGGAGCCAAGGAGACGACTGCATGGCATAGTCTGAGAGTCCTTCTATCACCCCGCTTTACTTCAGGGCTCCTCCTCAGTAGCTCCTATACATACTATTAAGGTAACTATTTGTGCTGCCAGTAGCTGGCTCCTCTGTCCCTTGTCCAGGGTCAACAAGGCCCTATAGGTCAATTGTGCACGTCACTTCGTTGTTTCCCAGTGTGGTATATGGAACCTGGGAGGTACCGAATGAGGAAACTTGCCACTTCCACCAACAAACAGCCACGAAGTGAATGCCCACATCAGTCCAATCAGGTGACCCCCTCAGACTGTTGAATGCCAGAGGGACACAAAGACGTGTTTGTGAAGCAATCCACTCACCTCAACAGGGAGGATTGTTGGGATTTGTTTTTAAGCCTCACATTTAAAATTTAATGTAAATTTTGTACTAAAAACATCTGGTTTTGTACTGATATAAGAGTAAGATAATCAAACAATACCAAAACGGATATTTGAAAATGGCCATGAAATACTACTATTGCTTACAGAACCCCAGGAATTTGCCTGGGCCTAGGTGATTATCCAAGAAATATTCCCAGGCTTCCTCGTCACCCATTATTGATGACAGGTTCATTTCTCTTATTTCAAAGAATCACAGAATGGTGGTTCACAATAGTTCATGGGTGAGGAAGCCTTTTGAGAATTTGATCTCTGGCCTGTCTACCCAGGAAACACAAAGCAGCACAAAAATTTGCCATTTGGTACCTATCTTTAAGGAGTTAGAGACTACTTAATATTTGCCTTACATACCCTGCCTCAGCCCATCTCCCTTGGTTCCCTGTCCCTCAAACCACAGTGACACAGAAAATCTGCTTGCTGCCCCAAAATACCTTGTGCCCCAAAGCCCAGGACTACATCTCGTGGAGAAGAGGAAGGGAAGGGTCAAGACACAAGCATCAGGAGTGCGCTGGTGGGCACTGCCAGGACAGGGAGCTGCTCTGGCTCTGGCTCATCAGAACTAGTGAGGACTGTGAGTCATCTGCTGAGCAGTTTGTACAAATTATCTAACTTATTCTATATATAGCCCCCCATTTATGTTTCTTTTTAAAAGAAACACATGTATTATTATACATATTAATGGGGTTCTGTGTGATGTTTCCACACATGTATTCAGCAAGCACTGAGTAAATTCAATTTTGTTGTATCCACCCTCCCTTTCCAACACTCTTCACAACCTTTATTAATCACTGTTTTCCATTCTGGTCAATTTCTTCCTACATATAGAAGGAAGCAAAACTAAACCTCACTGGTGAGGACAGTAACACAGGCCTCGCGTCCCTGCCTCACTGCTGTCTTCACATACAGATTGATCATTTTTCCAGAACAGCCAGACCAGAAGGCTTGCCTCGGGCCAGGGCTGCCAGATCCCCTCCCCTCTTGCACCTTCAGCACTCCCCTTTGTCTTTCATCCATTTGTTTCCTACTACCCTTCTTTCTCTCCCCCTTTTCTGACTTTTCTCTCCACTCTCTTCTTTCTCTCCTACCAATCTGCCTTACTCTAGCAAACACCATCCTCAGATTCCAAATATGGCTCCCACCACTTTAGGACCCTTGATGTAGATGCTACCAAGTCTGAAGGCAGCAAGACGGATAAGACAACCTTGGAAGGTGCTTTTCACCGAGAGTCTAGCTCCAAATCCCAGGAACCTGACAACTTATGGCAACGCCAATACTACTGACAACTACTGTCCTTTGCTACCACACCAAGGTAATCTAGGCCCACAACTTTCTCCAACAGGGCCTTCTCCTTACCTTGTAGGATGGAATTTCTGTGCCTGGGCTCTCAACCTGCACAACTATGTAGGCATGTAAGAAATTAGAGGCGATCATATCTGGGACAAATGGAGTGTTTTCTTCTTGGAAGATGATGGCCACAATGTCATTCCCAATGTGTCTCTTTCTCTGGAGCTAAACAAAAAGTATCACATTATTATAAGCCAGTTAGGAATATCCTGAAAACAGAAAAGAGCTGTACAGGAAATTCTCCATTATTTTACCTCTGAATATCATCCCTGGAACTCTGAGACCCAGCTCTCCAGGGAGCTGTTCTTTTAATCCTTAGAAGCCACCAAAAAGGAAAAAATAGGGAAGATGCCCAAGTTGTTAGGCAATAGCTAGTGAGCATGCTACTGAGTTCAACAGTGCACAGAGCCCTGATTTGGGACCTGGGAGAACATTTAAAAGGTGAACTGGGTGTTGCCCTGGGAGAGCCTGTAATTGATCTGGGAGCAACACAAACACAGGAAGAGTCACCTGAGAACACTAGCAAAGCTGCCAGCCAGCAAGCGCTAAGTCAGCTGCTACACATGAACTGCCTGGCAGCTCTAGGGACAGAGAGGAGGGCAAATCAGAGCAACTCTGAAATCTTCCTGGAAGAGAATACTGGGTCTGACAGCAACAGAGGTGAGCAGGGATGAGGTTAGGGGGTGGATCATTCTATCAGAGGACAGAAGAGCCATGCTTAGAAAGGATCATGTCCCCTGACTGGGAGGAGATAGGTCGGAGGGGGCATCCCACCTTGACTTCTAACCCAAACAGTGCCTGAGCTTTTGACCTAACAAGCCATGTGCTGGGGCGGTAGGTAAGGGTGACCGTGAGGTAACAAAAACTAAAGATAAGCCACTAAGAGAAAACCCACTTTGTGCTACAAAAGCAATCCTGCTCCCATTTGTTTCTAGGACATTCAGTAGTTATTTTAGAGCCAAATCATAATCTTGTCTGCCAATTTCCTTTTTTCCTAAGAAACCAGCCATTATGTTTACAGTTTTATGCCTCTGCTCCCTTTCTGGTCTCCTGTTCAGAAACAAACAGGTCAGAGTTTGGGCAAAGGACATCTGCCCCTCTTGTCTTCCCAGAGACAGGAAAAGGGCAAAAAGCAAGGTGGGGCAGGCAGTGTCCCAGCTACCAGGATCAGCTGTGGGTTTCAGAAGAGCTGTCCCTCTGCAGGGGTACACATGATGTGAGGCTGGAGAGCAGCAAACGTGGGAGAAAGCAGGAGACGCAGGTCTAACTTGGATCCTCAAGTCAGGAACAGGCTGGATTCCTGCTGACAGGCAGGTGCTGGGAGAGATAAGGCTGGGACAAACTGGCCAGGTGGGCTAGGGAGGATTCTCACGCAGTAAGAGCTTCACACCACTTTAGCAGCAGAGAGGCAAAATGACTAGTGGCCTGGACAGGGAACAGCTGTTACACAGAAACCAGCCACATGTCTTGTCACCCATGATTGTAGAAGCCCTATATTCAGAAACTTATGACAGGTGCTGACACAAGTACTGATATCCCCATTCTACAGACAAGAAAAATGAGGCCACAAGGTAACCAGTTTGCTCAGAGTCACACAGCCCTAAATGCTCAGTGGCTTCGAGACCCCATCCACAGATCCCGTCATGTGCCCTGACCATTATTACCCTGTGTTCTCATGATCCCAAGATCAGCCCCTAGCCAACTGGGAAATCTCAAGGAGGCTTTTATTCTGTTGGCATTGAGGGTGGAACTCGGGGCCTCATGCATGCTAGGCCAGTGCTCTACCACTGACCCTTACCCAAGCCCTGAAGGATGTCTTAACTGCTCACCCTGGGCTACAGTTTCCCCTGGGTCAAAGTGGGAATAAAGCAGAGGCCTGCTCAGTCCCCATTCCATCCTGCACTGGGCTGCTGCACCGCCCAGGCTCCCAAAACACCCCCAACCAGGTTACCTGTTGGATATCGCCCTCAGTGAAGGGCAGCTTTGTGGAGACATGAAACATGATCTCCCGGTCCCGAAATGTCGTGTACACTGACTCCACCCCTGTCTGTCCGTGGGTCACATCCAGGCCTCCTCGGAAACTGGGCAGGAGCAGGGAGAGAAAGAGTGAGGTGAAGTGGGCAAGGTGGTACCACCTTCTCTAAGGCTGTGTGGCAGGCAGGTGGATGAGAGAACAGGGCACAACTGAGAGAGACAGGGAAAGCAGGGAAATGAGTTCTGAGAAGACCATCCCTGGTGTCCTAACACTGAAGCTGGAATTTAAGAGTCAAAGGCAGAACCTCTATTTCAAGCCACAGCTGTGTCCCCTCTATACCACCAGTCATGTGGCTTTCCATCCACAACTCCAGACAAGTGCCCTTCCAGTTGTTAGTGACAAGGCTGGACACAGGCATTTGCTCTCTGCAAGGCCATATCCAAATCATGAGTCCAGAACCAGAGCAACCAGCCGCTCTACTGGACACCAGGGAGCCCCACAGGGCTATGTGGAGGCAGGTGGGAAAGGCAACAGATGCTTTGCTTCCACCCAGCTCGTCCCTGGTGTGGAGGCCCAACCGCAGCAGTACTGAGGCGGGGGTACGGAGAGACGAAATAAAAGCATGAAAGAATTGGCCAGGCCTCCAGGATCTGTCCTCTCTGCCCTTAAAGAAACACAGCCAACAGCCCCTGACCACATTCTTCAGCAAGGGCAAGAGAAGGCAGGTGCAGATTCCTTCCAGAAAATGAAATTACACCAGGGTGATATCACACAGCTATACTTCCAGCTATTCACGAGGCTAAAGCAGAAGGATGGTAAGTCTGAAGCTGGTCTGTGCAACGTAGTGAGATCCTATTTCAAAATAAAACATAAAAAGGGCTGGGCATGTAGCTCGGCACTAGAGCACATGCCTAACACATGGGAGGCCCTGGGTTCAATCCCTAGTACTGAAATAAGATGGACCTGGGGTGTCAAAGTGTCAGCACAGTGCCCGAAGTGCACTCAGCCCAGCATGGCACAGAGGACATTGGATGGGCAGCAGGTACTCCAGGTTCTACACCTGCTTCTGGCCTTGAGTCAGCACAGGACCTCAGTTGTGACACATAAGCTCCTGTGACCTCGGGGGTATCCTTATTTTACAGTATAAAAGGACAGGACTACATAATCACCATGGTCCTCCTGGTTCAATGTACTGTATTTTATCTTTTCCAACACCTACATTTTTTTTTGTTTTGGTTTGTTTTGTTTTTGAGACAGGGTCTCACTATGTAGTTGAGACTGACCTGGAACTCACTAGGTAGCTCAGGCTGGTCTCAAACTTGCAGCGATCATCCTGCCTCAGCCTCCCGAGTGCTGGGATTACAGGCATGCGCCACCACGCCTGGCTTCCAACACCTACATTTTTCACATTTTAACATCGCCCAAATCAGGGTGCATCTTCTAAATGATGGCATCTCAAAGTCAATGAAAGACAGTAAAATGAAAATGACCACAATAACAAAGACCAATGTGTGACACTAGCATAAACACTTCATGTGCATTATCTATCTTAATCCTCTAACAATCTTTGGAGTTCAGTATCATCTTTTATCTCCCTTTTCACAGATGAGAAAACTGAGACTGGCTGAAGTAAAGTCACTTCTCCAAAATTCTTGAGCGGTAAGCAGCACAGCAGGGATTTTAACCCGGGTATGATTGAATCTAGATAGCAGTGGTGATGTGGAGGAATGGAGAAGATGGAGGAAGAAAGGAGAAGACAATGGACAAGGAAGCAGGAGAGAGAAGGAAGCAGAGGAGGAAAGCAAGTGCTGCACATCTACTGCATCCCAGGCAACTGGGTTAGGTACTTTTCTTCACAGTACTGGGGATTGAACGGAGGACTTCACACTGAGCTACTCCCCACACACACCCCACACCCCTTTTGATACAAGGTTTCACTAAGTCAGCAAGGCTGGGCTCAAACTTTCCATCCTCTTTCTTGCCTTAGCCCTCTAGAGTGCTGGGGTTACAAGCGTACACCACCACGCCCAGCTGGGTTAGGTACTTTTACACATAATGTTAACTCCTGTTACTTTGGCTCCCAAAGTTGCGAAGGAGAGGGGTGAGAATTCCAGGAATGGCAGCAATGAGCCAGCCACCTAGGGCTGGCTGGATCTGAAATAAAATCGAGAGCCACAGACTTCCAAGCAATCACCTCAATATTCTCCACTCTTTTTTTCTCCAGTTGCTGGAGCTCAAAACAGCCCTAAAATTCTTTCTGCCCACTTAAAGGAAAACAGACTGATGCAGGAATTCCTGCCTGTGAGGTTTGATATTTGCATGAACTCTTAATTACCCATTCCTTGTGTATTATCTAAATTAGGTCACTTCCTTCCAAACTACACAGGGTTCTCTTTTGCCTGGCAGGTAAGTGGTAGAGAAGATAGATTCATTTCACTTTCAGTCTGAGCCAAATGTAATTAGGAAGGCAAATCTCAGGTGGAGAAATCTCATCACGCGTCAGGGCCAAATGTCAAAGTCTTTCAGACAACCTGCCATGCTGCATTATCCTCTGGACCACTGATTCTTTAGGAATGCCAGTAAGGGAGTACTGAGCAGACCCTGAAAAACAGTCCCATGTTCCATGTATTTTTTTGTTGTTGTTTCCGTTTTGTTTTGGGTACTGGGTATTGAACTCAGGACCTTGCACTTGAAGCAGGTGGTGGAACCACTGAGCTAAATCCCTGGTCCCCCATGTATGTGTTTTTAACTCTCACAAGCTCTCCTTGAGGACTGAGCTGTCTGCCCTGGCCCTTGCTCTAGGGTCTCATCCATGAAACTGCAGCCATTTTCTGACTAAAACTCACCCTTTAAAGTCCTGCAGTGTGATTGTGTCCCCCAGCAGGTCAAGGAACTCCTTGAAAGCTGGGCTCTCTTCATTGTTCCAAAACAGCTCCTCCTCTAGGGTCTGAAAGAGAAATATGAACGGTGCAGGAGTTAGAACACCCCTCCTTGTGCCAAGGAAAGAAATGGGGTTATGCAGATATATGATCCTTTTCTTCCTTTTTCCCTGTCTCCAAATCCATTCACCATAGTTGTCCTCAATTGAAGGAAAGACTAATGGAGAATCACTCAATAGATTTGGGTCCTCAGGGCTTGTTGAAGAGGCCTATTTGAGCAAAGGTCAGTGTAAAAGGCACAGCTGAAGCAAAGTGTTCTTAAAGACTTCATATCAAAAACATAACCCAGGACTAGAGATTCAGCTCAGTGGTTCTGCCGCCTGCCTCACAAGCGCAAGGACCGGAGTTCGATCCCCGGGACCAAAAATAACAATAATAATAATCCATAAATGAAAAATTGACAGTTGGACTTCCCAGGACTCTACAAGAATCAAAACCACAATGAGACATCACTTCACATCCACTAGTATGGTCATAATAAAAAAGAAAGGCAATAACAAGTGTTGGTGAGAAGATGGAGAAATCAGAACTCTCACACATGGCTTATGGGTATATAAAATGGTATGGCTAGTTTGGAAAATAATCCAGCAGTTCCTTCAAAGGCTAAACATAAGAGTTTCCATAGGACCCAGCAGTTCCACTTTGAGGTACATACCCAGGAGAAATGAAAACTGTCCACACAAAAATCTGCACATGAATGTTATTAGCAGCACTATGCATAACAGACCCAAAGTGGAAACAAAGGTCCATCAATTGATGAATGGATTTTTAAAATGATATATTCATACACTGCAATATTTGACCATAAGGAATAAAATGCTGATATTTGCTATAACATGGGTGAACTCTGAAAACAGCTTAAGTAAAAGAAGCCAGAAACATATATTATATGCTTGCATTTGTAAGAGATCCAGCACATAGGGCCAGGGATTTAGCTCAGTGGTGCCGCACCTGCCACCTGCCTCGCAAGCGCAAGGTCCTGAGTTTAATTGCTGGTGGGGGTGGGGTGTATCCAGAATAGGCAAGCCTACAAAGACAGCAAGTAGATGAATAGTTTTCAGTAGATAAAGGAGAGTAACTGGTAGAAGTTTCTTTAGGAAATGATGAAGATGTTCTGAAATTATGGAGTTATTATTGTACCACTTTGTGGCTTCACTACAAACCACTTATGGAGATATAATTCAAATACAACTGACAATTTCATGGTATGAGAATTATAGATACCTCAATAAAGCAATTATTAAAAATATTTACGGGCTGGAGATTTAGCTCAGTGGTTCCACCGCCTGCCCTGTAGGCACAAGGACCCAAGTTCGAGCCCTGGTACCAAAAATTATATATATATATATTTACAGCTCAACAGCTAGGTAAAAAATTAATTAGGATATGGTCAAAAGACATGAACAGACATTTCACCTAAGAAGATAAACAGATGGCTAATAAACACATGAAAAGATGTTCAACATCATTTTCCATTAAAGAAATGCAAATTAAAACCATAATGAGATATCACTACATATCTAGCAGAATGGCTTAAATTAAAAAGCAGCGACAACCCCAAAATGGCAAGGATGTAGAGAAACGGGATCACTCTAAAACTGATTGTGAGAATAACAACTCAAGAAAAGACTGGCAATTTCTTACAAGACTAAATGTATAATTACCATAGAACCAGCACTTGTGCTCCTAGACTTTTATCCCAGAGAAATAAACTTTTACATTCAAATAAAACCAAAACTTCCATACAAATGTTCGCAATAGCTTTTTTAATAATAACCCAAAATTGGAAACAATTCATATGTTCTTCAATGAATAAATGGTTAAACAAACTGGTACCATCATACTGTGGGATACGACTAAACAATAAAAAGTAACTAGTGATATAAATATGGATGAATCTTCTGAATAGAAAAAATATCCCAAAAGGTTATATATTACACAACTCCATTTACATAACATTTTGAAACAAAGTTTTTGAAGGTGGATAACATTAATGAAGTTGGATAACATTAATGTTTCCCAGGGGCTGAGGACGAGAGAGGAAGGATGAACAGGAGGGAAACAGGGAGGTTATAAAAGGAAAATACGAGAGCGCTTTGTGGTGACGGAACTATTCTGTCTTGATCATGGAGCATATACATGGATAAAATGACACAGAATGAAATGTACATGGTAAATGGAGGAAATATGAGTTATCTGTGGATTGCATCACTATTGATATCCTGATGTGCTACAGTTTGGTAAGACATGACCTTGGGGAGGAAGTAGGTAAAAGGTACATGAGATCTTCCTGTACTGTTTGCTGTTTG